CTTTGGGAGTCTTTTTCATAAATTCCTTGCCTAAGCCAATGTCTATAAGAGTTTTCCCAACATTTTCTTCTAGAATTCTTAAGGTTTCCTGTCTTAGGTTTAAGTCTGTTATCTATCATGTGTGGATTTTTCTGAGAGGTGAGAGGTGGGAATCCAGTTTCAATCTTCTGCATGTAGTTATCCAATTTTCCCAGCACTGTTTGTTGACTAGAGATTCTTTTCCCCAGTGTATATTTTTGTCTGCTCTATCAAAGATTAGATAACAACATGAGTATGGTTTTATATTTGAGTTCTCAGTCCTGTTCCAAAGGTCTATATCTCTGTTCTTGTGCCAATACCATGCTGTTTCGGTTAATATAGTCTTATGGTATAGCTTGAAGTCTGGAAGACTGATGCTTCCCAATTTTTTCTTTTTGCTTAAGATTGCATTGGTTACACAGGGTCTTCTCTGGTTCCCCACAAAGTGTAGAAATATTTTTTCTAGATCTGTGAAAAATGATGGTATTTAATGAGGATTGCATTGATTCTGTAGATCACTTAACAAAGTACGGACATTTTAACAATATTGATTCTGCCAATCCATGAGCATGGTAGGGTTTTCCATCTGTTTACATCCTTTACAATTTATTTTCTCAGTATTTCTTAATTCTCCCAATATATGTCTCTCACCTCCTTAGCTAAATATATTTCTAAATGTTTAATTTTCTTTGATGCTATTGTGAAAAGTGTTGCATCTTTCATTTGATTTTCAGCTTGACTGTTATTGGTGTATATGAACACCACTGATGTGTGTGCATTGATTTTGTATCCTGAGACTTTACTGAATTTATTTATCAATTCCAGGAGTCTTATGGTTGAATCCTTGGGGTTTTCTACATATAATATCATATCATCAGCAAAGAGTGAGAGTTTGACCTCTTTTGCCCCCATTTAGATACCCATGATTCCCCACTCTTGTCTGATTGCTCTGGGAAGGCCTTCCAGCACTATGTTCAATAGAAGTGGAGATACTGGGCAACCTTGTCTGGTTCCAGTTCTAAGCAGGAGTGCTTTCAATTTTTCCCCATTCAGTATGATGTTGACTGTGGGTTTATCATATATGGCTTTAACAATTGTGAGATATGACCCATCTATGTCTATTTTGTTAAGAGTTTTTATCATAAAAGTGTGGTGACTTTCATCAAAAGCTTTTTCTACATGTATTGAGAGGATCATATGTGGTCTTTGTTCTTGCTTTTACTTATATGGTGTGTTGTAAAAGCAAGCTCATTATCTACCTGGTAGGAACGTGAATACTAAAACTCAGCAGCATGCACACACAAACACACGCATACACCCAAACTCTCCAAAATTTACTACCTTTCCCAGGCCACAGTTCAAGAACATTTTCCAGTCTGACACCCTCACGCACAAACATCCTTCTTGGCTTGAATCCCTAAATGCCCTCACCACAAATCTGCATCCATGGTACTCTGTCATCCTCCAGTCCCTTCTGGCTCTCTAGCCTCCAAGACTCCCCTGAATTCTGCTTTCCCCCTTGCCTGTGTGCTCTGGCCAATGGCAGAATCAGCCTGTGCTTCTGGTGGCCCTTCCTAACCTCAATGTCAGGGAGTTAACCTGTGACTTCAAGAAAATTATCCTTCCCTCATGTCCACATCTCACTGGTCAGGTCTATTCAAGTTGGAAGAACAAAATCCTCCACTTCACTTCAAAAGGTCAGTTGCTCTTCCCTTAACAGGTGGGCTGACACCCACTCATGGTCCACAGGCCCATCCTGAGCTACCCCAACCAAACCCTGCATCACTGGACCCACTAGAGCAGGCGTCCTCAAACTAAGGCAGGCCACATGCCACCCACCTAGGACATTTATCTGGCTCACTGGTGTTTTTGCCACTGCTTCCTGTCATGCTTAGCAGCCAACTTGTCCCAGGCCCACAGTGAGCACTGTCCAAAAGTCTGAGGGACAGTGAACTGGCCCCCTGTTTAAAAAGTTTGAGGACCCATGCACTAGAGCCTCAAAACCCCAAATCACACCCAACACCCCAAATCCCTACTCAAGCTTCACAAGGCCTCACGCCCAGTCGGCCTTCTCAGAGCCCATCCTTCCACCCCCACCTCACTGCCCACTCCTGCTTTCCACACCAAGCCCCACACAGGTCTCCCAAGCATCCACACCAGACTCCGCACGCGTAGGAGTAAAAGCAAGACGACTCAGATGGGGGATTCTACTTCTCCATCCCCGTGACCTGTGTGGATTCTCTGGGGAAGACCCACACTGACTGTGAGAAAACAACAGAGCAAGCCAAGTGGTGAGAGCCCAAACGTCTGCTCTGAGGGCTACAGCAGGGCAGGGGCCCAGTCAGCTGCCTGGTGAGGCCACAGTCAGGGCCGAGAGCCGCTGGGACCTGTCTGTCCACCAGAGGGCAGCTCTCTCCGCCAGGGGCTTGTTAAGGACGCCTTTTGCTTTCCTTCAGTGTCATGAAGCCAAGCTTGGCAGTTAGGGCGGCTGAGGGGAGGAGCCTTTGCCTTTTCCCGCTTAGGGTTGCTGAGGGGAGGAGCCTTTGCCTTTTCCCGCTTAGGGCTGCTGAGGGGAGGAGCCTTTGCCTTTTCCCCGCTTAGGGCTGCTGAGGGGAGGAGCCTTTGCCCCCCCCGCCCTCCCCTCCCGCTTAGGGCTGCTGAGGGGAGGAGTCTTTGCCTTTTCCCGCTTAGGGTTGCTGATGGGAGGAGCCTTTGCCTTTTCCCGCTTAGGGCTGCTGAGGGGAGGAGCCTTTGCCCCCCCCACCCCCCCTCCCGCTAGGGCTGCTGAGGGAAGGAGCCTTTGCCTTTTCCCGCTTAGGGCTGCTGAGGGGAGGAGCCTTTGCCTTTTCCCGCTTAGGGCTGCTGAGGGGAGGAGCCTTTGCCTTTTCCCCGCTTAGGGCTGCTGAGGGGAGGAGCCTTTGCCTTTTCCCGCTTAGGGCTGCTGAGGGGAGGAGCCTTTGCCTTTTCCCGCTTAGGGCTGCTGAGGGGAGGAGCCTTTGCCCCCCCCCGCCCCCCCTCCCGCTTAGGGCTGCTGAGGGGAGGAGTCTTTGCCTTTTCCCGCTTAGGGCTGCTGAGGGGAGGAGCCTTTGCCTTTTCCCGCTTAGGGCTGCTGAGGGGAGGAGCCTTTCCCCCCCCCGCCCCCCCTCCCGCTTAGGGCTGCTGAGGGGAGGAGTCTTTGCCTTTTCCCGCTTAGGGCTGCTGAGGGGAGGAGCCTTTGCCCCCCCTGCCCCCCCTCCCGCTTAGGGCTGCTGAGGGGAGGAGCCTTTGCCTTTTCCCGCTTAGGGCTGCTGAGGGAGGAGCCTTTGCCTTTTCCCCCGCTTAGGGCTGCTGAGGGGAGGAGCCTTTGCCCCCCCCCGCCCCCCCTCCCGCTTAGGGCTGCTGAGGGAGGAGCCTTTGCCTTTTCCCCCGCTTAGGGCTGCTGAGGGGAGGAGCCTTTGCCTTTTCCCGCTTAGGGCTGCTGAGGGGAGGAGTCTTTGCCTTTTCCCCGCTTAGGGCTGCTGAGGGGAGGAGCCTTTGCCTTTTCCCCGCTTAGGGTTGCTGAGGGGAGGAGCCTTTGCCTTTTCCCCGCTTAGGGCTGCTGAGGGGAGGAGCCTTTGCCTTTTCCCCGCTTAGGGCTGCTGAGGGGAGGAGCCTTTGCCTTTTCCCCGCTTAGGGTTGCTGAGGGGAGGAGCCTTTGCCTTTTCCCGCTTAGGGCTGCTGACGGGAGGAGCCTTTGGTCTTTCACCCTTCTGGAGGCCAAGTCCATCTTTGCCTCACAGCCCCCCCTGACATGGCCGCTTCTCCCTGACAGTCTCATGTCCCCTCTTCCTCTTCTGGACTCCAGTCACTCTCTGCCTGTCTCCTGTTAAGACACGTGTGACTCCATCAGGCTCCAGTCAGATAATCCAGCAGAATCTCCCAATATTGAGACATTTCACTTTCTCCCAGTTGCTAAAGCCCTTCTGCCCTAGCAGGTAACTTCCCCAGGGCACAGGCGACAGGTCCCAGCTGCATGGGAGCCCCTTACTCAGCCCGGCGCAGAATCAGAGGAACTCCAGAATGTTCTGTGTTCATACACACCACATTTAGTAAACAACACGCTTTTCCTCTGCACTTGTCGTGTGTCCTTGAGCATAGGGAGGCCTTGCCCCATAGTCAGACCTCCTTATGCTCCTCCACCCACTGTGAGGTCCCCCTGCCTCTCACCACCTCTGACATTACGGCCAATGGACAACACGGGCACAGATCTCTCATGGGCAGTGACTTTAAACACAAAATGGCACCGGTGAGCGTGTCACACCCGTATTGGTCAGGATCACTTCCTGTTGGGTTGACATCATGATGGGTGACTTTTAAATCAACAGCTCTTCCAGGAGAAGGCAGAGCATTAGGAGGTGGAAAACCTGAGCAGACTAACTACCCATTCCTTTTTTTTCTGGCCATAATTTTAAATTATTTTTATTCTACTTTTTTTTTGCCTAATGAAGTACCTTCGATTTAATTATTTTCAGTTCTCACTTTTTAACACTATTTCTAAATTTTTTAAAACGTTTTTCATGTATTCACTTTTTCCGTTTATAAAGAATATGATTATTGAAATTTTACTACAAAAAGTGCCTGAGATGAGAACATTCTTAACGGATCAGTGCACTGGAGTAAAGCACGGCCAATGCAAAAGGAAATGATTTTAAAGCTGGCGACTAAGTTTCTCATCAGTGAGTCACTGATGTTTGTATGAAACAAAGCAGCTTCCTTTTTAGACTGGCTTTATATTAAATGTGTCCATAACAAAATCATGTATTTCTTTGAGAAGGTGATGCATCATGGCTGACCACAAGTGTGGTTTAATTATTACTTATGAATCCTTTGCTGTGTTTGGACTTTGGCGTAAAATGGAAAAATAGCATTATATATGATTGGAGATATGATTAATACGTGAAACGTAACCACAGGAATCATTGGAAAAATTATATATGAATTGGAAAGGATATTTAAAAAATTACCCGCAGCGAGTGTGAACAAACGACGAAGTGTAAACCCCGTATGTTACGTTGACCAGTTGAGGAGAGCAGATACACTCTTGTGTTGGTTGCTGCGCTGATAACGCGTGTGTGGTATCATCCACGACTCAGAAAGGTCCATCGCCAGCGGTTTCTTTCAGCTCACCCACTCTGCCCCCCTGACAAAGGCAACACAAAAATAAAGTGTTATTTACCCGGGGTGTGGTGTCATGGCTGTTTGTGTGGCGGTTTCCCGCTCAGGTTGGGGGGAGTCTCTGGGCTGTACTGGAGGAGGGGAGGGGTCTGGGTATGAAGGGAACCCCGGGATGGGGGAGGAGGTCTCCCTGGGGTCTGGGCCGCTGAGGCCTCCCAGCCTGCCTGGGTTTAGGGAATGGGGAGGTTACAGGGGGTGATACTCTGGAGTTGAGTCGTGAGGGCGATTGAGAGCCTCGGTCCTCCATGGGGGAGGCTCCAGGGGGGAATAGGTGCAAGCTGTGGGTGCCTTTAGGGACCTGTCCTGCTTTCATGGGAGGAATCAAACTGGGAACTTGGTAGAAATGGCCTCCTTAAGAACTGAGCATGCGGAATGTTAGGTTTGCTCCAGGTGGGAACCCAAAAAGTATGCACAGGACAGAATGTGGTGAATGCAAAACTTAGGCTTGTAAAACAACAGCCTGGAGAGTCCCCACACTTTGTAAATCTCACAGCCAGCTGCAGCCAGTGTTGCTTCCCCCCTCCCCTTCCTCCCTGATAGAGACCAAGTTCATCTCTGACTAGCTCTCCTCATAGCAGCAACCCCAGAGCTGAAGGATGGGTGGGACTGGGGCAGGCATCTCAAAAGTTGGTTGTTTGCAAAACAATTAGTTACAAGGCAGAACCAGGTGACTCTTGTCTGTAATCCTAGCACTCTGGGAGGCCAAGGCAGGAGCATCAGTCAAGGTCAGGAGTTTGAAACCAGCCTGAGCAAGAGGGAGGCCCTTTCTCTACTAAAAGTAGAAAGTAATTAGTTGGCCAACTAAAAATATATAGAAAAGTTAGCCAGGCATGGTGGCCGATGCCTGTAGTCCCAGCTACTCTGGAGGCTGAGGCAGAAGGATCCGTTAAGCAGAGGAGTTGGAGATTGCTGCCAGCTAGGCTGATGCTAGGACACTCTAGCTGGGGCAACTGAGTGACGCTCTGTCTGCAAAAAAAAAAAAAAATTAATTACAAATGGCTATTCTGGCCCACTTCCTTACTCCCCCAAATTCCCTGTGTAAAACCAAGGCTCTCCCCTTTTCTCTCATGGACACTTTTTCTCTTCCACCCATCGGCACCCAGATGCTCAAACAGCATTTTGCTACACATGAGGCTTCCTGTGTCTGTCTGTTGGCTGGGACCTAACATTTGGAGCTGAAACCCAGGAGGCCACAGGTCTCTAGCCAGCAGGGCTTGCAACTGGGGAAGCAGGAGGCAGCCTCAGCTCCTCCAGGGCTCATTCCTGAATCCTGCCTTCCTCTGAGTCCCTTGGTCTTCAGTAAGGTTCCAGAAATCTTTCCTGAGCCCCGCAGGGGTCCCTCTCTGACCTGTCTCTGATCCCGGAGTGTAGGGGGAGCGCTCTAGCTGGGCTGAGGTAAGCTAATTGTCCACCCGGCCCCTCCTGAACCCAGCTGACAAGACAGACACCGGACCGGGACTGGGGTCTTCCCTTCGCTGACCTTCACAATTCACAGTTCCTCCTGGGGGGGGGGCGGGGGTACGGGGGTAAAAGCTGCAAACTTCCTCCCGGATTCCTCCTGTGTCTCACACTCTTGTCCTGGATCAGGTCTTCCCTCCCTGACCTTCAAATCCACATCCTGGTGAGCAGGAGCTCAAAAGTGGGTTCAAATTTCCCCAATCCCTCCCATTCTCCTCTGCTCCTCTCAACTCAAATGTCCTGCTGCTGAGCCTGAGGAGTCTTAGCCCCTGGGCCCTTTTCATGGGCACAGGGACGCCTGCTGTGACTCATTGCTGGTGCTCATGCACCCTCTTCTATCCTGTGCTGTTCTCTTGTTCTAGGGACCCCTAGAATTGAGTAGAATCCACCTCGTGTGACCCCCACTCTTTCCAGGAATATGGGAAACTCTCAGTCTACTACTCCTCTCAAAACACTACAATTTTTGTCACCGCAATGGAAAATGGTCTGAGATTCCCTATGTCCAAGCCTTTCTCACCCTCTACTCTCACTCTGCACAAACTGTAATCTGGCTCAAATCTTCCTACTACACTCTGGGTCATCCCCCTCTCCCTCACCCTCTGCTCTGGAACAACTTGAAACCTCAGATTCTGGCCCTGGCCATCTCAGCACTTCCCCATACAGGTCTCCCCAGCCAGAACTCCCTTAGCCTAACCCTCAAACCGCTCCCTTCCGGCCTTAGTCCCAGCCCCCCTCCTACTCACCCTCCTTCTGCTCAGGACCCCCTGCCTGGGGTGGAAGGCATCAATCTCAGGGGACACGTCCCTTTTATTTAACACAATCTATACTCTCACCTGGCATGACTTCTACACTATTCGTTCGTCTACTCTATCCCCTGAAGAGAAAGAGACGGTTTACCCTAATGTCCAGACACAAGGCGATACAATCCATAGATGTACCCTGTCCAGCCAGTGGGGACAGTCACTGTACCTGAAAAGGGCCCATTATTGAATTATCAAGCAGCAACTGCTGAGGGAACTTTACTCCTCAATATGCATTGTCTCCCAGTCCATCTCTGACACCAGGCTCAAGCTCCAAAACTTAGAGGAAGGCCCGCAAACCCCACAAAAGCTCTCCTAAACCTGGCCTTCAAGGTCTTTCATAAACAACATGGGGAGAGGCAAAGGAAAAAGAGAGTGGGACTCACCACAGGAACCATAAAAGAGTAAAACAAAAGCTTTACAAATCCTGGCTGCCCTGTAAAGGAGTTTTGCAGAGTCACTCAAAAGGCCCCAGGCAAGTAGGCCACACCCTTCTACCATGTCAACGGAAAAATGCCAAACTCTTTAAATGATTTTAAAGAGACTTACTCTGAGCCAAATTTGAGGACCATGACCCAGAGCCACTGCCAAGAGGCCTTGGGCAAGTGGACTCGCTGTGGCTGGGTTACAGTTCGGGTTTGCACATTTTCAGCGACACAGGGGTTACAGGCAAAGTCACAAATCAATACATGAGAGGCACACGTTCCTTAGGCCCAAAAAGCTAGGGCATGTACAAGCGGGCGCTTACATGTCATAGGTGAATTAAAAGATTTCTTGGGTGGCAAGTGGCTGAGAGACTGAGACTTTATGTAGAAGAAAGGATATGCTTAGTTTCAGATGGGTGTGTGAGCACTCTGGGAGGTCCAGACAGGAGGATGAGTTAAATTTATGATAGGCCTCTGCTAGGATGCTTGAGTTGAGATGGGGGCCTCTCATCTTTCAGGTGATGTTAATGCCACACTGGAATCAGGTTGGCAAGCAAACCACTGCTGTATTTGGTAACAAAAGCTGCTTTCTGGGAATTCCCCATGTGTCAGCCTGACCCAGCTGGCCTCCTTAGGAAGGAGTTTTGAGCAAAAGGAAAAGAGCAGAGTTCAGCCCTCCATACACACCTCATCTAGGGAACCGCACCCTCTTCCTGTGCACTTGTCCCGCGACCTTGGGCACCGGGCGGTGTTGCCCCCAGTGTCAGACCTCCTTATGCTCCCCCACCCACCGTGAGGTCCCCCTGCCTCTCCCCACCTCTGACCCGCCGCCATTAGACAACAGGGGCCCAGATCTCTTTGGGGGCGGTAACTTTAAACACAAAATGGCGCCGGTGGGCGTGTCCCACCCCTATTGGTCAGGACCACTTCCTGTTGGTTTGACGTCATGATGGGAGGCTTTTAAAGGCACAGCTCTTCCGGGTGCAGCCAGAGCGTTCTGGGGTGGAAAGAGGAGCAGACTTACTACGCATTCCTTTTTTTCTGGCCGTGGTTGTAAATTATTTTTATTCCACCTTTTGTTGTTTTTTGCCTAGTGAAGTACCTTCGATTTAACTATTTTCATTTCGCACTTTTTAAAATCTTTTGTAAGTTTTATAAAACATTTTCCATGTATTCATTTTTTGTACTTATAAAGAAAATGATTGTTGAAATTTTACTCGAAAAAGTGCCTGAGATGAGAACCTTCCTAACGGATCAGTGCACTGGGGTAACAGCTCGGCCAATGCAAAAGGAAATGATTTTAAAGGTGGCGGCTAAGTTTCTCGTCCGTGAGTTGCTGCTGATGTTGGTACGAAACAAAGCAGCTTCCTTCTTAAACTGGCTTTACGTTAAATGCGTTGAAAATGAAATCATGTATTTCTTCGAGAAGGTGATGCGTCGTCGCCGACCACAAGTAAGTGTGGTTTAATTATTCCTTACGAGTCCTTTGCCGTGTCTGCCCTTCGGCGTAAAATGGAAAAATAGTATTACCTAGGATTGGAGATATGATTAATCCGTGAAACGTAAACCTCCGGAATCTACGCAACGATTACATGTGAATTGGAAATGATCTTTAAAAAATTAACCGCAGCGATTTTGAATGAACGACGAGTTGTAAACCCCGTATGTTACGTTGACCAGTTGAGGAGAGCAGATACACTCTTGTGTTGGTTGCTGCTCTGATAACGCGTGTGTGGTATCATCCACGACTCAGAAAGGTCCATCGCCAGCGGTTTCTTTCAGCTCACCCAGTCTGCCCCCCTGACAAAGGCAACACATAAATAAAGTGTCATTTACCCGGGGTGTGGTGTCATGGCTGTTTGTGTGGCGATTTCCCGCTCAGGTTGGGGGGAGTCTCTGGGCTGTACTGGAGGAGGGGAGGGTCCCAGTGTGAAGAGAGCCACGGGATGGGGGAGGAGGTCTCCCTGGGATCTGAGCCACTGAGGCCTCCCAGCCTGCCTGGGTTTAGGGAATGGGGAGGTTACAGTGGGTGAAACTCTGGAGTTGCGTCGAGAGCGCGATTGAGAGCCTTGGGCCTCCAAGGGGGAGGCTTCAGGGGGGAATGGGTGCAAGCTGTGGGTGCCTTCTGGGGACCTGTCCCGCTTTCATGGGAGGAATCAAACTGGGAACTCGGTAGAAATGGCCTCCTTAAGAACTGACGATGGGGAATGTTAGGTTTGCTCCAGGTGGGAACCCAAAAAGTATGCACAGGACAGAATGTGGTGAATGCAACACTTAGGCTTGTAAAACAACAGCCTGGAGAGTCCCCAGACTTTGTAAATCTCACAGCCAGCTGCAGCCATTGTTCCTTCCTCCCTCCCCTTCCTCTCTGATAGACACCAAGTTCATCTCTGACTAGCTCTACCTGATAGCAGCAACCCCAGAGCTGAAGGATGGGTGGGACTGGGGCAGGCATCTCAAAAGTTGGTTGTTTGCAAAACCATTAATTACAAGGCAGGACCAGGTGACTCTTGTCTGTAATCCTAACACTCTGGGAGGCCAAGGCAGGAGCATCAGGCAAGGTCAGGAGTTTGAAACCAGCCTGAGCAAGAGGGAGGCCCTTTCTCCACTAAAAATAGAAAGAAATTACTTGGCCAACTAAAAATATATAGAAAAGTTAGCCAGGCATGGTGGCCGATGCCTGTAGTCCCAGCTACTCTGGAGGCTGAGGCAGAAGGATCCGTTAAGCAGAGGAGTTGGAGATTGCTGCCAGCTAGGCTGATGCTAGGACACTCTAGCTGGGGCAACTGAGTGACGCTCTGTCTGCAAAAAAAAAAAAAAAAATTAATTACAAATGGCTATTCTGGCCCACTTCCTTACTCCCCCAAATTCCCTGTGTAAAACCAAGGCTCTCCCCTTTTCTCTCATGGACACTTTTTCTCTTTCACCCATCGGCACCCAGATGCTCAAACAGCATTTTGCTACACATGAGGCTTCCTGTGTCTGTCTGTTGGCTGGGACCTAACATTTGGAGCTGGAAACCCAGGAGGCAGACAGGTCTTAGCCGGCAGGCTTCAACTGGGAAGCAGGAGGCAGCCTCAGCTCCTCCCGGGCTCCTTCCTGAATCCTGCCTTCCTCTGAGTCCCTTGGTCTTCAGTAAGGTTCCAGGGATCTTTCCTGAGCCCCGCAGGGGTCCCTCTCTGACCTGTCTCTGATCCCGGAGTGTAGGGGGAGCGCTCTAGCTGGGCTGAGGTAAGCTAATTGTCCACCCGGCCCCTCCTGAACCCAGCTGACAAGACAGACACCGGACCGGGACTAGGGTCTTCCCTTCGCTGACCTTCACAATTCACAGTTCCTGCTCTGGGGGTTAAAAGCTGGCAAACTTCTTCCCGGATTCCTCCTATCCCTCACACTCTGATCCTGGGTCATGTCTTCCCTCCCTGACCTTCAAATCCACATCCTGGTGAGCAGGAGCTCACAACTCCGTTCTCTTTTCCCCAGTCCCTCCCATTCTCCTCTGCTCCTCTCAACTCAAACGTCCTGCTGCTGAACCCAGGACGAGGACGCTCGGCCTCTGGGACCTTTTTTTGAGAACAGGGATGCCTGCTCTGATTCATTGCTGGTGCTCATGCGGTCTCCTCCATCCTGTGCTGTTCCTTGTTCTAGGGACCCCTAGAATTGGGTAGAGCCACCTCGTGCAACCCCCACTCCTTCTAGGAACATGGGAAACTCAGTCTACTGCTCCTCTCAAAACACCAAGTTTCACTACAATTTTTATCACCCCAATGGCAAATGGTACGAGATTCCCCATGTCCAAGCCTTTATCAGCCTCTACTCTCACTCTGCACAAAGTGTAAACTGGCTCAAATCTTCCCACTACACTCTGGGCCTTCCCCCACTCCCTCACCCTCTTCTCTGGACCAACTTCAAACCTCAGATCCTGGCTCTCCACACATCAGCCGTTCCCCATACAGGTCTCCCCAACCACAATTCCCTTAGCCTAACCCTCAACAGGCTCCCTCTTGCCCTAGCCCCAGCCTCCCTCCTACTCGCCCTCCTTCTGCTCAGGAGCCACTGGCTGGGGTGGAAGGCATCAATCATGGGGGGGACACGTCCCTTTTATTTAACACGATCTATACTCTGACCCCTACGGTATTCTTTAATCTACCCCCTGAAAAGAAGGAGACGCTTATGTCTAATGCCCAGACACATGGCAATACAATCCATAGATGTACCCTGTCCAGCCAGTGGGGACAGTCACTGTACCTGAAAAGGGCCCATTATTGAATTATCGAGTAGCAACTGCTGAGGGAACTTTACTCCTCAATATGCATTGTCTCCCAGTCCA